TAGTCTAATAACAGATATCAGATTTACCCAAAGAAGCTGGTCTGCCAGAGACAAGACGCACCTGGCTGTGCACCCTAGGGAGCAATATCCGGGCAGACACTCCCACACCTAAGGGCTGCCAGCTGGGGGCAATCAGGGAGCCAGCAGCCCCTCTCACCAGGCAAACAGGCTTGCCCAGGGCTGCTCAGGCTGTCAGCTGCCCTGAGCCCAGGCGAAAGGCACCCCGGGTCCTAATGGGGTGAGATGCTGATGCCAGGCGGACATTGCAGCCACTTGTCCCTGATCAAGGCGACTTGGGCTGATGAAGCTGGGTGCTCACCCGGGGGCACCTTGCAGGCTCCAGCCTCAAAGACCACGGGCCTGGCTCGCTCTCACCTGCCCAGGTACAGTCAAGCCACTGAGACCAGTGGGCTGTCTCTGGGGGATCAGGCCCACGCAAGGGACAATGCAGCGATCTCCAGAGCAAAGGGGAGGGCATGGGGAGTTGCAACAGTCAGCCGGGCCTGACAACAAGGAGACCCAGGGCCCAGATCCCCGAGGAGCCCTGAACCTGGCGGATGCTGGCCTCCCCCCGAGCTCAGAGCCCAAGCAGAGCGGAGCAGCGGTGCCCGGCCTGAATCTGCCTGCAGGTGACATGAGCTGGCTGGAAGTCCCGGGGCTACGAGTACGTTCCACCCTGGCCTGGCCCAGCCACCCCAGGACGAGGAGATGAATCTCTGTGGCAGCAACGAGGAACCAGTTTGTTTCTCCCGTGCCCCTTTGCTGGCTGCGGGCCAACGGGTTGGTTTGATTACATGGCAAATAATAGACACGGAAAGAGCTGCACCAGACATGAGCGTGGGGACTTTCCCAAGGCCTCCGGGGACTGCCCGGGTGTCTCCTTCCACTGCTCTCCTAAGCAAACCAGGACAATCACAAATGGCTTGCGAGGGGAGAATGAGCCATGACGGACCCCGGCGCAGGTGGGGTGGCCGGCAGGCTGCGTGGCCAGAGCTGTAGCTACACATCTGGGGAGCGAGGTGACCCCACGCTGGCCACCCGCATAGTCTGCAGACGGCTCCGGAGCTAGCAGCTCTTCAGCCCCGTGGGTTTGCTGCCTCGCCATCTCCTTTGCTAGCACTTTGCTCCCTCTCCCCACTACCATCCAGTTCTCAGCGGTGCTCAGATAAAAATGCTCATCTCCTTGGACCGTGGTTTGCAAAGCCACCCTGTGCTTATGGGGCCACGGATTGCATTTGTCTAGGTAGAGAGGCCTCGCTGCAAGACCCCTCGGAAGAAGGGTCCATACTCGGCAGACCACTTAGCTGGATGCTGGTCCCAGAGCTCAGGCTGAACCCCCTGTGCTGGAATGGCTCCAGAGGTCTGGCTTGGTGCATTACACTGAGAAATGACAATGGTTATAGCTAAAACAACTATTCGTTAATAAAGCACTCCTCTTGCCCCTGTATCTATGTTGCCTGGGAATCACCTTCACTCCACCCCCACCCTCCCCAGAGCATAAAGAGTCAAACACAGCCCTCAGCCCCGGGTATTTTGGGAGGGGGGAAACGTGTCTGTGATGCAAAGCTCTTTGGGGCAGGGATCATGTCTGTGTTCAGGGTTTGTACAGCACCTAGCGCTGGAGAGGCTGGGGCCACGACCAAACCTCCTACTTGCTATCGCAATCAAAATGAATCCAAAGAGGATCCTAAGGAAAAGAGGGCAGCAGGAGATGAGGGCCGCTGTCCGCACCCAGGACGCGAGAGCCCTGTTCGCTGTGGAAATATGGACTGGTTCCTGCCCCCCTGGACAGGGGTCTTACTCCTGAAGCCCAGAGGGGCTGTGGCTCCAGGGCATGGTTTGTGCCAAGAAGCTGAGGCATTTCAAACAATGCGCAATGGCCTCAAATGTACCAAAATCATTTTCTTGAAAGTCTTTATTAAAAAAAATAACTCAAAGGACAAAATTGACCCAAATTGGATACTCAGCGATTGGGGAAGGCGTTCGTATTTCCTAACGTGGAACCAATCCTCACCGGCCACGGCAGAGAGTCCCCCACCCTCACCGTCGCTCAGGGCACCCGGAGATAGGGCTGTGGACCTTTTCTCTAGACACTGGAGTATCTTAGCAAGTGGCAAGAGTCCACAAAGCAGTGGTAAGATAACAGTCATTTGGGCCAAAGTGATTCGGGATCCTGAGTCCCATTACTTTCCAATGGCATTTAGACTTCTAAATCACTGAGGCTTTTGCAACTATCTCCTGATGTCCCAATGGAGCATCATGGTATCAAGACACGATTCAAAACCAGCTTGGTGGAAATATGAACCTGCCTGATGCACAGACCAGTCCCTTTTATATGCTCAAGGGAAGTCGGGTTACAACCCATCTCCATTCGCTCTGTGGCCCCCCCTCCGCTGCGACCGAGCCCACCCTGCAGCAACAGGGATCTGGGACGTTCCTTGCAAAGCCTGCAAAGGTTTGGGTGGCCCAGGATCTCACATTTTGGTCTCAGCACCTTGGTGTCACGGCCTTGCCAAGATCTGATTAAGATGCATCATCTCCGCAGCCCTTTCGTGTCTGACAAGATGGGCTGGAGGGATGCCGTGTAGCCCATGCAAAATCAAAATCGTGCCAGAAGGCCTGGGATAAATGGCCAACCCAAGCCACACCTAGGGGCATCTGACCTGGCAAGGGCTGAGGAAAGGAGTCGAACAGAATAGGGGGATATTTCTTTTCACCAGATTTTCTCACCAGCGGTGCCACGGCCCAGAATCTGAATTGTGTCAGACTTGGATCCGTCAGACCGAGGAGGAAATTTCTGGTGCCCGATTTCTGTTAGATGTACGTGACTGATTTCTTGAGGGTGCTTTCACACCACAAACCAGACACACGCTTGACAGAAGCAAAATTTGGGTCTTGGTTCAGATCCCAACAGCCTCTGCTCCCGAAGTCGGGATCTGGGTTTTGGTTTGGGCCCATCAGACGTAGACCCTGATCGCAGGGATGGCAGCCTCTAGTTACATACAAATATCTCAGGAAAGCAGCAGCCACAGGGGAAAGGAAAAGAAAGCCAAGCACAGGAAGATGGAAAAGAGGAAGTCTGCTACTCTGTGATTGTTTTGTGTGATTTTTTAAATTGCTCGAGTGATGTCCGGGAGGAGTGAAGCCCTCGACAAACCCTGATGGACTTCTCAGAGACGAAACATATATGTCCCAGAAAGACTGCTCCGTGGCAGCTCTACCTTTGGTTTCACAGAATTGGGAACGCTCCCATCGTTGTCCAGGAAATAACTGTAAAAACAGCCCCGCGTTTCCAGCCCTCGAAGCCAACATCGAATCCGGTGCAGCCAGACCGGGGATGTTCGCCAGAGTCAGCAATGGCTAAGCCACGAGCAGAGCTCACCACCCCTTCTGGGCCCAGAGAAGGATTCACCGCCGGCCTGGGGAGAGGGCCGAGCAGGTCTGTAGATGGGGACACAGGGAGCCTTGGCAGGACTTCCAGCGGGGTAAACCCCCTGCTCCCAAATCCTCCGTATTGCACGGGGGTCTTGCAACGGGGTAGAGACCTCTGGTTGGGACAGCTGGGGAGCTCTGGTCTGTGGCAGGAGGGAGTGAGTTGCCCGAGAGCAAGTCTTCAAAACAAGCACAGGAGGATGAAGAGAGAAGCAAAGGTGGAGAGGAGAGGCAGAGCCACCCCCGTGCCACAGGGAGCCCCGGAGCGGCAGTGGTTGGTGTTTGGGCCAACGCAGGCAGCATAAGCCATGACGTGTGGGATGTAGTTCTGCTCGTGGACCCCATGCAGAAGATGAGCCATGGGCCCCTTGGCAAAGACAGCCACGTCCTCACCGCCGTGGGTCTCCTGGCGCAGGGGCACAGCCGACTGGGCCTGGTAGTTGGCGTGAGCTGCAGGGAAAGGGAACAAACCGCCGTCAGGGACCGTGGCACCTCGTGCTGAAGAGTGAAACCCCTTCTCCACTGGAGAGCTGCTAGATTAGCATCGGCGAATCTGGCCCCCCATGCATTGAAACCGGCGGAGGGGCAGAGAAGGGCCACGTAGACGCTTAAAGAAACAGAGGACCTGCCCCAGGACGGCAGCATGTCTGTCTGCTCCTGACCTGGGTTAAGTTATCTCAGCACATAAAACTCATGTATACTGGGGCCTGGATTGGTCTGTCCAAGGCTGCTGCCCGTGGCTTCTCCTCCGAGTCTGCCCAACAAGGAGCCCAGCTAGTGGCACCGGGTTGTCTGACAGGGACCCCGCTCGCTGAGATCGAGCTGCTGATGAGGAGGGCATTACCTCGAATCCCCGTGGCCATCACCGTCCTGCCCCAGAACTCACCAAAATCCACCGTGGACACGTTCTCCCTTCCTCCTCCTATGAGTTTGTACCCAGGACCATTTCCGTACAGGATGGCAGTGAAGGGCTTTTTATCCACGTCGCTCTGCATCGGAGCCAGACCTGCACGTGGAGCAGAGGTTACACACCAGTGACGGCAGCTTCGTTCATTGAGAGACCACGGCACACCCAACACTCATCCTCCAGCCTCGCCCCTCTCCAGACGTGGTTGGGGCAGGGACTGGTACAGGCTTGAGGACACATCCCTTTACACCTCGTAGGCATCCGTGTGACTGAGCGGGGTCCTATGCCACCCTGCTCATGTCCCTAAGAAACTGCCAGCGTGGCTATTCCCACAATATTCCTTCATCTGACTCTCAAAGTTATGCCCACAGAAGGGCGAGGAGGAGGAGGACACCCCAGCACCACGCTCTTGGGTCTTCAGCGGGGTGCAATAGGGCACGGTACTACTTACATGCCTAGCAGACAGAATAGGATGGGGTTCTTGATTGCTTTTATAAAAAGCCCCAATTATTCATTAATCAAGAAGCTCTTCCATCCAAACTTGGAGGTCTTCAGATCTCCATGGCTAAGCAGAGCCAGGTCTGGCCAGCACCAGGTGGGGAGACACCCCCAGAAAGGAAGCGGTGTTGCAAGTCCTCAGCAGAAGAGCCCATGGCCCGACATGAGCCAACACAGGCACTGGCCCATCAGTGGAGCCAGTGGCCCAACATGAAGCTCATCCAGCTGGAGGACTTGCCTTGGGGAGCAGTGTAGTCAAGACCCAGCCCCGTGACAGTCATGAATGATCATGTGGCACTACGAATATCTGTTTGGGTCACTATGGGATGAAGAGCTCTATACTCTTCATAAAACACCACGCATTTCCCCACTGAGCACTTCCAGCAATCTGTCACTTTACTTGATCCTGATTTTCCCTACTTGCTTCTCATATTGAGGGCTTCTGGATGCTAGCAGGTGCCGCTGGGTACTTCCACGATGCCGACCAGCTGGGGAGGGCAGAAGTTTCACGGGAGAAGAGATGACGCTGTTCTGCCACTGCATGAGTTGGGAGGCTCAGGGCATTTTGCCCGGTGTGTGGTGTGGTCTCAGCGATGTCTGCAGTGAGTTTGAGCTGCTTTAGACATCGGCTCAAGTAAAACGGAGATCTAGTTCCCAACCCACAAAACGTGGGGGTGTTTGGCACGGGAGCTTGGTCTGGAGCTGTACAAGTGAGCTGGATGCTAAACAATGACTCTGTGGCCAAAACCTCAGAGTGGAAAGGTTTCCATCACTAGGAGGTTTGAAATCAAGCCTGGATGCCTTTCTAAAGAGCATGTGGTAGATCAGCCACTATCGCTGGGCTCAGCCAGGACTTACTCAGGCTTGTGCTGAGCAGGTCAGACTGGAGGGTCTTCTCCAGCCCCTTTCTGGCCTCAGGTTCAACACTCTCTGGACTGCATATATATCTGCATGGGGTCAGGTGCCAGCCTCTCCAGGCAGAAATTGCAGACAGCAACAGTCTGGGAGCAACCTCTGGGAGCAAAGGGATCCCCAGATCCCCGGGGCATTGATGGGTTAAACACTTACCGAAAATGGAGTTGCCACGCGGCGTGTAGCCCCCGAAGGTGAACACGTGGGAGTGATCTGCCGTAACCACGGTCAGGGTGTCGTTCTCCGTGGTCAGGCGGCTGGCCAAGCCGATAGCTCTGTCCATCTCCACGGTCTCGTGCAGTGCTTGCTTGGCTTTCCCCTCGTGGTGGCCATGGTCGATCCTGCCCCCTGGGAAGGAAAGAGCAAGAAAAGACAAGAGGTCTGAGTCAAGCATACAGAGCAGTGCAATTGGGGAGCCGTCCCCCAGCGCTGATCCTTCAGGGAAATAGGCACCTAACTGTAGTAATATCTGAGATGACATTTGGAGAAGGGAAAAGGCACCCTGGCTCCTGATATGCAGGGACTGAGCAAGCATTGGGCATCATTTGTTTGTGTGACGCATAGATTCACATCCAAAACAGAGGTTTCTCCTTCTGCATCCCAAGAACGTGCCACGGGGGAAACGCAGAGATCAGTGTAGATGGATTTAAACCTGAATTTTCAACCCTGAGTGGAATCACCACATGGAAAGCCTCCACCCCAGTCACCAACTTGAATCAACTTTTCCACGTGCACATCAGCTCCTTTCTAAAGGCCTTCTCATTTGTGGATATAACCCTTACAATAGGAGTGAAGGAGAGCCCTAACACTAGATTTCACTACGGTGCAACAGGGCCTTAACGAATGACATGTTTGCCTTCCTGGTACGATGCGACTACACGCATTTACATCAACAGTGGTGTGGCTTTGCATTTTCAGCATCGTACTGCATTCTCATTTCTGGCGTGCTAGAATATGATGGAGGATACCCTACGTGTTTACTAGATAACTCTCTGTTGTTCATGATTTGCATCAGGCTGCATTAGGAACCACTGCCTGGAATGGTTTTGATAGGGATGATGCTGCCTTGAGCAGGGGTTTGGACTAAGTGATACTCAAGAGCCCCGACTCCTGTTTTCCTGTGCTGGCGACTGGAATTAAAACACGCAAAACAGCACGTGAACCCAGAGCTCGGGTAGGGAGACAGGGCTGTGTCTCCCTCTTGCCCTCAGTAGCACGTCTCCTCAAGACAAACCCTTAATAGAATACATGAACTCCTAGGCCACATTTATAAAGCTGGACCTGAAAAGTGAGATTTTTTCCCCCGATTCATCCTGTACCTAGAAAAAGCATGCAGGTTGTAACCCCAAGGTGTGGCTAGAGGCTCTGAACGCCACAACTTCATTTTTTATTTACATGTTTAGCAGATTGTAATAGTGTAGGCCTTACAATAGTTTCTAGCAAACTCATTTTAAATAGGTTTCTTTTCAAAAAGAATAAGTTATGGCCATTGAAATACTAATAGAAAACAATTTGATGTAAAATTTTAACAATGCAATTTTTAAAAATATTTTTTGGAAAAGCCGTTAATTTTTTTCCTCCTTGATGACTCCCGCTTAGAAGAAATAAGAGCAGTCGGTGGAGGTGCAGTTCTGATGTGACAAGTATTCTTCACCACGATCCCGCCCCTTTCTCTTTGTTCAAGGGTGGGAAAGAAATCAAGCTCTAGCTGGAAGGGCACTACTGAGGTCAGCATGATTTACCATATTGTCTTGCATACAACATGCATCCTTCCCCCCC